TTAAGTTATAGAAATACTCATTTAATGAATATTGTTAAATCACCTGCAAATCTACTACAGAATAGAATTTTAAAAACTAAACTAATTATAGTAGATAGGACCAGTGATAATGCGACTAAACTGATAAAGCAAAAAATGGTTTAGAACCAAAAAAACACAAACAATTTATTTTGATAGGTAAGGCACGGTAGAGGAAACGGTTTATAAGGAGGGAGAAAATGTATGGATACAGAATAAATTTAATAAAACTTGGGGTGAGGCAAGAGTAGGTAATAAATAAATTAGATTTACCTAGATGTCGCCTAGTGAATGATAGTAGTGGTAAAGTATTAAGAAGAAATATAAAGTTTATTAGAAAAAAGAAAACATTAAGTTTAGAATTGGTTGATGAAAAGAATATGGCTGATAAAGAACAAACTGTGATAAATAATGAGAGCAATAATAATATGGTGGTGAGGAGATCAAAGAGGAAAATTAAAATACCAGAAAGATTTGGATATTAATTGTTATATCTTACTTGTAATTGTTTAATTCTTACTTAGTATTGTAATTCTTTAATTTTAGTGGAAAGTATGATGTTAAATATATATTGTTTTAATCCTAGATCATTTAAAATATTCACGAGAACACACGCACACGGTATTTTAGTCACACACAGTATAGAGCAAATCATAGTCAACTAAACAGTCACAATTAAAATTTAATAACTATCAATTTCGTTTATCGAGCAGCAATAATTAGAAACACAGTTTAAAAATAACCCATAATTGATTTTTTACGATCACGCACACTGTATTTTTGACCGTATATTACAACGTATTGTCTGGTAATGAACTTTAAACACTTCTATATTGCTGACATCAGATCGTATACAGCTGGGAGTTGAATCTAATTTTAGTTTATCACCTAATTAGAAAGTATAAGAATATTTTCTGTATTTAATAGTAAAATTATATATTCTTTTAACTTTAGACTTTACGAAATCACTCCCAATTGAAGTATCGTTTATCATCTAAACTAGTTGCTGACCATTTTTTGTCTATACTTGACCATAAAGAATTTTCCTTTGTCGATAAAACAGAAACAAATAGGACAGAACAAATTAAATTAAATAGAAGTCGTTTAATTCCTATAAATTAATGTGTAGTATTATGTGGACGACAAGAAATAGCCCTCCGAGGCCATCGAGATTCTGGAAAAATCAATGGTAACTATTGGGACTTTCTGCTATGTATTACTTATTATGATAGTGTTATGTGGTTGAGTCATTTATATGTTTCATTATTGGTGGATATAAATTTTTATTAATTTTACATGATTTTTATTATTGTAGAATTTGAAAACCAAGGTAACTTTTGGGCAATATTAAAATATAGATCTCATGGTGATACTTTCTTAAATAATATTCTTGAAGAAGGAAATGTTTATAAATACATTTCACCAAAGATACAAAATGAAATCGTTTGTATCTGTGATCAATTGATTTAAAAAAAAATAGTTTAGAAAGAAATTAAATGCAGCTGAAGGGTTTGCAGTTTTAGGTGACGAAACAACAGATATTGCTACAAAAGAACAGTTAACATTATGCTTTCGTTTTATAGACTGCAACAATAAAATAAATGAAAGTTTTCTTAAATTTGTTTTTATCCAGAGTTTAAAGGGTACTCACCTAGCATATGCTTCAGTAAATCTTAATGATTTGTCAAAACAATTAATTTAAATAATTTAATGATAATTACATACCTACTAGTTTTATGTGTTTTCTGCACTCGTGTTTAAAAATTTGTGGTATTAATTGTGAACATTTAATTGGACAAGGGTAGGTAATTGATGTTGCCTCTAATATGAGTGGAAAATATAAGGGAGTCCAAGCAATAGATTATCCTAAAGCCATTTATGTTCATTGCGCTGCTCAAACTTTAAATCAGGGCGTCAAAACGGGTTTGAACCCGGGTTGTAAAACCCAGGTTACCCGCAAAAAATTTTACTCATGTTTTAACACTAAACAAGTAACCCGCAGAAAATTGTACTCGGTTTTTAACACAAAACACGAAACCCCCAAAAAATTTTACCCGGTGTTTAACACGAAACCCGAAAAAAATTTGCCCGTATTGCAAGTTACAACATGAAACATGAAATCCTCAAAATTAAGTATTAACTGAACTGTATACACTAATAATAACTAATATAGGTAATATTAAATTATAATTATCTTAACCCAGAAGCCAGATTGCCAGAACTCAGTTATTCTTCTCTACTTTCAGCCTTCAGGCAATAGGGGTAATTACTAATTAGTTAATTTGTAAAGACTTAGGTATTGAATTTAATATTTATTATTGTATACCTAGTCGACTATAAATTTTAATATGACAGACAACATTATTCGAATTCGGGACTCGGGTATTTTAAATTATAATTAGTTTAGTGTTGATTTTTGACCAAATGCTATTTGGCATTTTATATTTAAACTTGTATGTTAGAGTTTCATCAATAATCCGAATACCACTTACCAGTGAACATGTCAGTAAGATTTTTCGTTTTATTTTTCATTTGTTTTTCGTGTTTTTACTTTGTAATTGTCTCTAGTACCTACTTAACAGTCCAGTCTCCAGTATTCTTGAAGTGTGCTATACTGCTGTGTTTATGGTTTATACTTAATACTTAAATACTTCATCTATATTTTACAATACTTTACTCGTGTCGTGACTACTCGTGAGCTCCACAGAATTTATTGATTTTTTAACAAATTTAATAATTTTAACTTGTAAGTACAAACATAATATTTAATAATATAATATTTATATTACATTTTATTAATTTATTACTTTGTTTTCAAAACAAAATATTTAAGATTCAAAAATCAAAATCGCTAGTTAATAATTAAAAATTTAAATTTTGTAAGAAACTCTTTATATTTTAACATTCAAAATACTAATTAAGTTTTAATTTTTTAGCAATGGGTCGTAAATCAGTTAATAATGTAGGTGCGTTGTTTTTTGAACATAATAAAGGATCTAATACATCAAAATGTAAGATTTCCGACTGTCCACATCCCATCATGAAAGGTAAACATTCAATGACACTTTAAAAACACGTAGAGCAACGTCATCCAAAATCGTATCTAGTATTAGTAAAGGAGAAAGGGCGTATAGAACATTCCGATAGTGATTCGGATAAAGCTGATGGTTTTGAATCAAATAACAAAAAAATGAAGGTAAGAAGTATAATTCTTTCTAGATAGGTAATTAGTCATTTCCAAATACGGATCTGTCAAATATTTAAATAAGTACCTATTTAATATTTAGAACTTTGGGTAGGTAGGTAACGAGTGTATCGACTATACAGCTGAAAAACAAATCAATTAATTTTTTTCATAACTGTACATTAATTGTACCTACAAATAGGCTCAAACACCTAGCACAAAATGCATTTGCAGGAAGTTAAAAAAAATGAGCTAAACTCTAAGTCTCAGAAAATAATTGTAGTGAACAAATTCATTTTTTTAAAACATTTTTAAATTTTTAATACCTACCTAAATCAAATATTAAATATAAATTATATTTTAATTTTGAAGTGTTAAATAAAAATGTTACAATGCATTAAAAGTTTAGACATTATCTCTTATATTATAAAACACAAATAGTCTCCGTTTTTCGCCACCAGGCGCGACGCGGCAAATAAGCAACTACGCGTTTCTTCCATAACGACCAATCATAATACTTCTCGCGCGTTCGCTAAATTTTCACGTCGCCGCTCGCTTATCTCCCTTTTCGTTATCGACGATTGACGTGAATATTTTCGAATATTATTTTCCCGAGTTATTCCGTATTTCTATATATTATATAATATAATAAAAAAGTGCGTGTGCGATTTTTACAAAAATTGTGACATTTCCGTGTGTAAAATATATATAATATGTAAAACGCAATATTCAGAAACGGTTCAAGTGTTATGTAAATGTCATTATTATGAATTTTATTATCGTACCATTGTGGAAGCCGCCATTCAGCCATTCAGCATTTCAATAATATTAAAAATATAAGTATTTTGAATGCACGGATTAGATAGACATTTTTCACGAGTATTGCAGTAAATTTAACTATTATAGCTAAGAGTTTTAGTAGGAGCTTGGTGTGTCGATTGTTTATGACAATGTCGTTACATACGTAATAAGGTAAGTAATAATAAGTAAATTCAATACATTTCATTTTTTAAAACATACATGTTATGTAATATTATTATATTATATACGAGGGGTAATTACAGAAAGTTTGTACACCAGATTACTGATTTAAATGATTATACCTATGATTTCCCATGACTTACTACAAAGATTACCTATGATTACTCATGATTACCCCCAAGGTGTTTACCCCTCGATTATAATATACTAATATTGTATTACCAAGTTTAATTACTTCAATTCATACCTTATACCTGTACTAACCTTTACATTGGGTTACACGTATTAATTTTTTTCCAATATTTCAAACAAATTTCAAAACAAGAAAACTACATATACATATTATATGTTATAAAATTATAATAAATTGAATTTAAATTCCTCCAAAGGTGTAAAACTATGCTTAAAATATTGTAATATTTGTCAACATTTTTATTATGTCGTTGGCATGCAAAAATGTATTATACATGATTTATATATATTATTATATTAATAAATACATAGGTATCATTTATATTCTACTTTTTTAAACTTTATTATAGGACAACTGTATGCAGCGTTTTCCCGAATGAGGGAAAGCCGATGGCATTCATGGCAATATTGAGAAAAAAAATCAGAAAAGTAAGAAATGTTTATGACTATGATGATTTGAAACAGACAATTCAAGAAAGCAGACAAAACTTAGGTATCATTGATCAAAGAAATTTTTTTCAATGGACAAGTAAAAAAAGAACAACCAACATACTTTTAGATCCTCTTAAAAATTTTAAACTACAAAATGTAGTTTTGGTCAAATTTATAAAAAAACTCATCAAAAATGCTATATTCGACCAATTTTGATGACAAAGAACTCAAAGAAATGGATTTTTTACAAAAGAAATTTATAAGGGGTATTAATACTTATAAACCAAAACAAATTGATCAGCCAAGAGGTGTGTGTGTAAATAAAAAAAATGAAATCATTTCAAAGTTATTACCATTGATGCCAAAAAGCAGGGAACATTTTTGGATTAATTTACAAGTATCCGTGACATCTACTGATCTAGTAGTAAACATTGGTCTAACGGATGCATTTTTAGATGAATGTGTGATATAAGATTGGAATTGTAACTATTACAAAGACTGCAAATAAAGTAGGATACGTTAGTTAATAATGTATTTGTTATGAACTTTTATCATTTATTATGTACATGATTTTTTTATACATATTTTTAAATTTTGTTATAATTTTGTTATAATATTTAAAAAATTGTAAAGTGATACTTTTTATTTTGTTGTTAAATTTTGAGCAAAGACTGCATAATATTGTGATTAACATTATATTTTTACTATAAATGTATGTAATAACTGCAAGAACTGCATATATTTTTTTTAATTTTGTTATTATTTCATTAACATATATTTATAAAATTGTTAAGTGATACATTTTAAAATTTAAGATTTATTAACTAGTTTTAATATAATATGTAATTGTTTATTATACGTTTAATTTTGGTATTAAATTGTGAGCAAAGACTGCATTATATTGTGACTAACAATGTATTTTTACCATGAATTAAAATAATGACTGCAAAGACTGCCAATTTGACGCGGTCCCGCGTAAAAGCTGTTTTAATTCAAACAGCCTTTGCGCGGAAGCCACGCGGTGGCTTCTCAATCAAACCGCCAATCGACGACGGACGACGCCGGCGCGCGACACGCTCGCCTGGAACCGTCGGCCGGCCGTCCGGTGAACCGGATTGTCAAGACGCGCTCTCTCGTCATCCCGACACCGACCCGGAAAGACCTCCGAATGTCCGTACACGCGAGTGTAACCGATACCTTTGAAGAATTACTATATTGTTACATGCGGCCCTTCAGGGATCCAAAAGCTTGTTGTACTTTTACAATAAAATGTAGTCAGTTTAATTATAAATCAATTGTAATTTATTAAAACCAATAATAATTAATATAGTCGTGGTGAATTGCAGCGTCGTGAGTTGACTCGTTGTAGTAGTCGATAATCTCCATGTAAGTCGTGTGTAATGGCTGGTGGCTAAGCGGCTCGCTCGGTCTTGGCGGCTCTGGTACATCTAATTCGTATTGAAGCCCTGGCCTCTATATATACGAATATACGAAGGCGACGCCCTTTGAATTGAGCGGCGCGTGGCATGCAGGCGCCCTTGGGAAGTTGTTGTGATTCGAAGCGTCTATTCTAGCTATGACCACTTTTGGGTGCGGTCGACGAGGCCGCTTTCTACATAAGTAGTACTTGTTATTGTGAGCGTTGTACATGAATTGTGTAATCCCATTACACCTCCCCACCAAAAAAAAGATTGTTAACCTTTAAGGGTTAAGAATCTTTAACAATCATAGTTAAGTTAATTAATCACAATAGTTAATTTACAATTTGACATACATTTGATTACAATTGTTATAATAGTTTACAATTTGATATTACAGTGTAGACATTACAATTTTTAAGTGTCATACATAATTACTGTTATTGTTATCCGTTAGACCAGAGTTTACTACTAGATCAGTAGATGTCACGGATACTGGTAAATTAATCCAAAAATGTTCCCTGCTTTTTGGCATCAATGGTAATAACTTTGAAATGATTTCATTTTTTTTATTTACACACACACCTCTTGGCTGATCAATTTGTTTTGGTTTATAAGTATTAATACCCCTTATAAATTTCTTTTGTAAAAAATCCATTTCTTTGAGTTCTTTGTCATCAAAATTGGTCGAATATAGCATTTTTGATGAGTTTTTTTATAAATTTGACCAAAACTACATTTTGTAGTTTAAAATTTTTAAGAGGATCTAAAAGTATGTTGGTTGTTCTTTTTTTACTTGTCCATTGAAAAAAATTTCTTTGATCAATGATACCTAAGTTTTGTCTGCTTTCTTGAATTGTCTGTTTCAAATCATCATAGTCATAAACATTTCTTACTTTTCTGATTTTTTTTCTCAATATTGCCATGAATGCCATCGGCACTCATGTGCGTATGGCCTTTGGTTAAGTACTTAATTGTAATACTTTCAACAGTGTTATGGGTGTTATTTAATATGCAAACTAAAGCAGTAAATAAGATCCAATTTTTGTTTTGTCCGGTGCAGTTATCTGCCCAAAATATGAAATTTGTCACATCTCTTTCTTCCTTTATTAAGGCTAATATGGCATCTGTTATATTCTCTCCTTTTTACTAAACGACTAGTAAAGAAACTAGTTTTGGATTCTGGTAGTTTAGGAAGTAACAATACTTTTTGTAAATCCATTGAGTATACTCTAATTGAAGTGCCACTTATATCTATTGTAGCACCTTCTTTGTACATCTTATGAGCTTGATATGCTTTCAACTTATGTTCTTCCAATTTGTTTTTAATAACTTCTATTTCATTCTCATTTTCCAAATTTTCAATTTGATTTTTAAACATACAACAATCTTCACACATATCAGAGTTTGGTTTTTTCAATGATATATTCATACTTTTCAGGACAGTTCTGTACAATTCTTGACAAATTAATTTCTCATTTTTTGAACAAAAATCATCATGCATCATTTTCACTGTCAGTTCTCTGGGTAAATATAAAATATTTGGAGCATTGTGTCTTCTGTAATGACTTATACATGGGTTATATGTTTTAATGTGGTTAATTATAATTTCCCTGTCAAATGTTCTCAAATTATTATTTTCACCCCTATACTCTTTCACAGCTGAAAGACAAGGGGTGTCACCTTTTATATACTTGCAAAGTTCAGTTATAATAGAATCGTTTGAGTAGCCAAAAGTACATAGAAAAGTTGATTTACACACTTGTAATCGGTTACTATTTATACTTGGTAGATAAAAGAAACGAGATTGATTTTTTGTTGCTAAACTTGATGTAGTTGTTCGACGTTTAACTGGTTTTATATCTATGCATGTTGCTAAAAATCTCCTCCTTCCAACATAATTTTGAGTCCAAAAATCTGTCCAAAGAGCTTTTCTATGAGTTATTGTTAGATCACTATGGCGACATTGTTGTCTACAAGAATCTTTACATGTTATATCTTTAAATGGGTGTTTAAGTTTAGCTTTTTCTTTTTTATTGTCTTCTTTAATCAACCTATTATTCTTTAATTCTGCAGGACTCAATTTTTTATTACTTGTTGGAATTGGTATGTGTAATGGAGAATTAATTATTGAATCATGGATATTTTCAGTGAAATTTTGACTACTCACTAAATCTATAGATACATCCAAATTCAACTGATCTATAGAATCCTTATTTATATCATTACTAATAACAAAGGTTGGATCCAGCATTTCATCATCAAATACCTCATAAGATTCATAAGAATGGTCATCTTCATTATCCAATTGTTTAGCATCTGATTCATTATTATTTAAAGAACTTCTAGTGTGAATATAGCCGTGGTCATGTAAAGCAAACACACTAAAAAATTATAATAAAGAAATATTAAACTAAGCATTATGAGACAATAATGTAATATTTATGTAATATACTTACTATTCATCCATATTACAAACTAGTATAGTAATATTGATGACTAAGGAAAGAGAAATGAAAAATTATTTCATTTTTTAAATTTGTTTGATGTAGATACTGTGTTTTGGATTTGGAAAAAATCTTATCATACAAATAATATGGTAATTACTGATTACTAAATTCTAAACTAATGGTAATACCACAAAGAGGTTAGAATAAAAAAAATCCGCATTTTAACAAGGAATATGAATATGTAAAAAAGTCGATTTTGATAAGAGGTGTTACTGTGTTTCGTTTTTTGGACAGCCGAGCAGCTGTCGCCTCGATACTGCGATATCACGACAGTTTGTTTACTACGTGCTTCGTGTTGATAACGTATATTTTGAAAGTGTTGCCGCCGTTTTGAAACCGATCTGAATATGGGCAACTATACCCCACTAACGAACGCTCAGCATATACAAGCTCCCACTTACAACGAGATATTCGATCTGGCCCAGTCGCTGAAGTCGCGGTTGGAGTTGTTGGATAAGAATGCGGAAAATTCTGTTACGACGCAGCCCCCGACACAGCCAACCGGAAACTCCGTGCCACACATTATACTGTCTAGTATCTTCAACTAATATATCTTTTAAATTTGTCCAAACAATTAAGAATGAACACACATTTTTATAAGTATACAATGTTTGAATATTTGTATAGGTTGAGTCTGTAAGTGTTATTAAAATTAAATATTAATGGTTTGAATTTTGAAACCGTTACCAGTAACACTCAAACAAATAATAGGCGTGTATACGGTAGCAGCCTATGGTGCCTGGGCTCCCACTGAAATTTTTGAAAGGCGCCGGTGAACTGAGTTTTAAGTCAGAAGGGTTACAACTTGTATTTAAAAAATAAAAAATGTATTTTTGTGGTCTCGTTATAATTACTATTTAGATGCTTACAAAGCAGGGGCGCAAATAGGTGGGGGTCTTGGGGGTGCTCATGGTTAAAATATACAAGGTTATTGCACATATCCCATATTGTTATCAAACAAAAAATAAAATGGCAAAGTAAGGGTACGGTCCATATCATGCATATGGCTGTAATACGATTGAGAACGTTCGACCTTTTTTAGCGTACGATTGAGATCAATCGAAATGGAACAATGAAATAACCGCTGACCCAATAAAACAGTACTATTGAGAACGAAATTAAGTGCAACGTTGCCGAACTATATTCAAGTCAAAATAAAAATGAAATAAAACATTGAATAAAATAATTAAAAATTATAAATTTTAAAAATGTCATAATTTTTAAAAAAAATTGTATTATTGGTAGGTAGGTACCAATGATACAAACATTTAAAAATAATTTACAATTTAATTTCCCTATATAAATTTCCCATATGTGTTAAATATTTTACTAATCCTTCAGAAGATTTTTTTTGACAGTAGTTAATATAAGACTGTATTGTTTTTGAAATTTTTTCTTCATCTGCTTTTGATGCCTTTTGAACAGTACCCTGTTGAATAGTATTGAGTTTTAAAGACGTTTATTCCTGCTACATAGTGTGTGAGCAGTGCTAAGAGTCATACATATTTATATAGGCTATAGCCATAGCCGATTATTATAATATGGCAAAGTTTGGCAACGTTGGGCGGAAAAATAAAAACTGAGCGTTCTCAATCGTAATAGTCAAAAGGGTCTAAGAAAGGTATCGCCAATAATGACCGTTCTCAATCGTATTCCTGCCATGCATATAATATCATAGTGTGGCGAACCAGTGTTTTTCACCACATGCTCCCTCCCTATGTCGGTCGCGCTCCCTGTGTTGGCAGCACCGCTCGGCCCTCCGCGTCGTTCGCGACCGCGAAGTGTCGGGCGGCTGCCAACGGTCTCTCCGTCCGAGTGTGTAGCCGTTCTCTTAAAACTGATAAGAGCTGAGAAAAAAAAAGAAAAACTTGTTCAGATCATGTATACCAACACTAAAACATAAATTCCCTACACCGTTACCATAATGACATTACCAACATAAAAATGTATAAAACTTATATTTTATGTATTTGTATTCAGTATTGACATATAAGTGTCATATTATGTATGCAATGCCACAAATAATTAATATTCATGCAATATTCAATTATTGTTTTATTTCCTAACAATCGATTATTTTGAAACTGAACCCGCAGCCCGCACGTTGTAACTGTGCATAGCAGTCTTGGCGACAGGCATAATATTATATATTTATATTATGTAATTATACTATCTGTATTCAGTCTGGTTTTAAACACGTACAAAAATTATTTTTAGCATTCTTATCCGCTAGAATTGTTTGCAATTGTGTCTATAAATATTGTTTTTGTATAAATATCGATATATTAAAAGAGGGGAAAAATCTGATTATAATATACAATGGACTCAAAAGTACCGTCGGCGGCGTCGGGTCTAAATCATAATGCTATTTCATAATTATTAATTTCACTTTAGTCGTTGGCTGTCGTGTATGTACCTATATATGTACCATCGCCTTAATAATGTATATCTGTTGTTTAAATATTGTTATTTGTTAATCCGTTTTCGCATTTTCCTATATTGAGATTAATATTTTATATTTATACTTATATTTGCTATAATATATAACATTTTACAATATATTAAAATGGATAAAACATCCGAATTGGAACAATGGTTACTTGAAGAATTTCCATCTAATATTGACTCATGACATAGAAATGTCTTAAATTGATCATAAGATGATGAAAGTCAATGCATCGATATGGGTAAGTTCAGGGCCGGCCCTATATAGGGTAGGTCAATTGGGATATTTGTCCTAGCCCCCGCGCGAATTTTAGGGCCCCGCGATTACGTCATGAAAACTAGGTATGTTGCTAGTATGTAGTTAAATTGAAAAAAAATAATTCATAAATATTAAATTCATAAAGTTATAATATGTTTTTGAGATATTGCATAATAATATATTTTATAAATAGCGTTATAGACTTATGGTTAATAATAGTTCTAATAATTCCTATTCTCGGTCGATGCTTAGTGTTATCGCATGAACGCTGACGCTAGCAATCAATTATTTCGTTTTATTTTTATATGTTGTACATGCAATTTGAAAACAATACGATCCGACGATACTGATAATTTTACATTTTCACTTTTAAATTGTACACATGACAAATTATAATTTTTCATGATTGTATATGCAATAGGCATCGTCGCATACTCGCGTCGCTACCATTTGGATAATAATATACGACTTTTACTAATCGTATTCGTTATTAATTATTCAATTATATTTAATAAAATAATTATTGAACATTTAGGTAACTTGAGATAATATCAACGCAATATTTGTTTCTCTCTCAGACCCATGCGCAACATAGATAAACCGTATTCACCTAACATTGTTTTTATGATTTTTGATTAATCTTGAGTACAAAATTATATGAATATAATAAATTATATTTATTATACCGATATTTTTTATTAGTTGAACAAGTCTTCCGAAGAACAAAGGGAACCAATTATTGTTGTTATTCATCATGATGATAATAATAGTAAGAAAATTAACATTTGTGTAAAATTTATTTCATTTGAAAATTAAAACTGCATTTACTCTATAGAAATCACACCCATCAAACTTGGAGTTTCAAAATGTTTGGATTATCCTGCAATGGTTATACCTTTTGAAGAAAGCAACACAAATTCTCTCAACAACTCTGGTAAGTTTCCAATCATAATCTTTGACTAACTAAAATAGCAATAAACTTTTATAGCTATGGATAGAAAATTTAAAACAAGGTTCCACGTAAATAGGTTATTTATAAATTACTTTATTCACAATAATATCATCAAATATATTTAGTAATATCATAGGCTGACTGACTGTCCTGGCTCAGAATCGTTTTTCTTATACAATGATATATATATATAAAGTAGGTACTAAGTAGTACATATTTAATTGTTAATATAAATATAATAAGTAAAAAAAATTAATGGTTATAATATTACATATTCATAAGGGTAACTTATAACTATTTACTATCCCCTACACATTTGATGAGTTAAAAATAATAGTTAACAGCCTTGAATATTTACAAGTCATTATTTATAAAAGTTGTATAAATTAAATTGTTCATAAGTAATTTCATATAAAAGTTATAATAATAAAAGAGGTATACATTAAATTATTTACAAGTAATTGTGTATAAACATTATAAAAATAAAATTGGTATGGTATAAAATTGGTATGAATAAAATTGTTTCAAGTCATATTAAAAGTTACTGGCTAGTGGCAAACACATGAATTACTGTTCCTAATAAAAACATAATGAGTCAACATAAGTAGGTATTCAAATAAAATATAAATCATAAGTATACCAATGGTTGCGGTCGAACTTGTTTTCGATAATAACCATCCATAAGATGGCCTGCTCTTCGTAAAAACATGGATAAATCTCCATTCTCATTAAGTATACCAACATAGTTTTGTATAGTACTGGTAACTTCTGCTCTATCAATCTGAGATAGATGAGATCTGATCTGAAAATATTTTTAAGATACATCTTACAATTTATAATGTATTTAAATAATAATAATATATAGGTATTTTGATTTCAGAATAAAATTTCATAAGCTTTTACCTGGAGATGCCTGCGAACTTGATCCATTTCCAAATAATATTGATTCTCAACTATCAATAGTTTCTCTATAATAACAGTAAGTCTTCAATTAATACAAATAATCTAAATACATTATTAGCTAGATGGTAATTATACCAAATACAAATTCTGCCAAGCATGTTTCCAAATTAGGCCACTCCCAGACAAAAAGCACCATATGAAAAAAAAATAATTCATTTGACATTTTATTATATTATATGAACTAATTTATAAATAAGTTATACCTTCAGCAATTATTTTTTATAATATATTAAGTACACAAATGGTACAATTTCGGTCCGTTAAGGCTATAAGCCAATATATTTTTCGTCTAATTTTTGTAGTCCAATAAATGTTTTGTTTAATATTACACAATTCAAAGTTTTGAATTATATTGCAATTATATGGCATATTTTTACACTTTATATTGCATAAAAATCCTCGCTCTATACATAACTGAAAACAAAAATTGGTATAGGACCTTATGTTTAGGACGAATAGTCTTATAACCACACAAACACATACATACTCATTAACAACGTAGCACAGTATTCACAAGTCTTGATAGATACCTAATAACATTACCTATTTAGTATACTTACTCTGTGTCTGAAAATCGGTGATACCTCATTTACATAGAACCATACTCATTAACAATGCAGTACAGCATTCACAATTCTTGATAGACACTTAATAACATTACCTGTTTAGTATACTTACTCTGTGTCAAATCGGCAATGCCCATTCACATAGAAACACATTAATACATTGTAATACAAACAAATCAATAGAACAATATTCACAAACATGAATATATAATTAAATTAAATATACGCATGAAATCCCAGATATTGGGATGTTTTCCAATCTGCGTCTTCAGTGTGGCATGAAAAGACTCGACATAATTGTTAGTTCGAACTTCTGACCTAAAATATATTACAACAAATGAAAATAAACTGTGTATGATATTTTGTAAGAATTCTAACCCAAAGACACTTATGTTTGCAGCAGTTATTTGTATGAACCAAAAATCTTGGATGTAGCCAAATAGAAATGCTTGTAGGCGTTCGCGAATATCTGGTTGTTGGTTGACATAATCTACGATTATTTGAAAACCATCAAGCATTGTAAAATTGCAATTAATTTGGGATTCTGCTGGAAGATGAGGTAGAGCTAACACCTACAAATTAAAAACCCAAATTGAATTTAATCGAAACTAATTTTAGGAAAATTTAATAATAACAAAAATGTTTCATCATAATATCATATTACCATGCGTAAAACTGTAGCAGCCTCAACACTGGTCTGAAATAGATGAAATAGTCCGTTCATGCTCCTTTTGCAGTACCGGATAACAGACTATATAATTTGATTTAGTGAATACTCAATACATTAATAATACATTTATATGAGTGAATACATTAATAAAAGTAACATATTTTATTATATAGGTACTCAGTTTCTCAAAAATCATAGATCGACTCACTTGGCAGTAGTGAAACCAACACCCCTGAAGCTTTGTATGAGGCAAAACAATCCTTACTGCGTTCATCAAACCTCGTTCATAATCTGTTATTATGGTTAACTGGTTGTAGTTCAGAGGTAAAATCTGGTGTACGACTCTAAAGAAGGACTCATATGTGGACTGTGTCATTCTTGTAGTCAATGCATACACCATTGGAAAAGACTGGGTAAAAAAAATCATATTAATTGTATATACAATTAATAGTTTAAAAAAATAACTTACCACATTTCTGTAAACTATATGAAAAGTAAGCAGGCAGCCTTTTTTCAAATCAGGAGGATTTCTTGGCACAGTTTTAAAAGTCCCATCTACTCCTGCGATGGTAATTGATTGGAGTAGTTCTCCACTATATTTTCCAATGGCATCTGTATTAGCAAATACTACTCCAACTAGTTCTCTATCTACTATCAATGGACAACCATGTTGAAAAAATCTAAATAAAATAATAAATAATAGTAAGTAAATAATAAATATTTGAAATTTATTTCATGAACCTTGAAGAAGGGCGCTGCAGGGTTGAAATATATGATGTTGATGTGGTTGGTTCATTCAGGATATGTGCTAACTGTTCAATGGTAGTTGGATTTTTTGGACGACGACGACGTCGCATTTTATTCAGACAAAACCGGGACTGTAAATGTGTATAGTTTTGTGCACCTTCTGGATTTCTAAGACAGTTAAGGTTGTACAATTAAAACTTTAATCTTATTTATGCTAATAATTACAAACATTTTAAAAACATATAATGTTTATCCAGATTACTCACAACACAACTTCTCGGTTATAAATTTGTCGGATTGAAGTAGCCAAATTGACGGTACTTGTTCCAGCTAGACCAATAGCTCTTCGTAAATGCACCATTGGAATGTCAACATTTGGAGGGAAATGGTTGTGTTGAACCCGAGTCATTATATCACCATTCCCTTTTTTTATGTCCATAGTCCTGACCCAAGCTGTTGACGGACAATGCACCGCAACAGTCTTTTGATTTTCACAAATTAAATATCTACATAGCAATAAAATAATTAATAAATAATATTATAATACAAAATTAGTAAGCAATGAATCATTTATATTTCATAAACTATTTATTTAAATGTATAAGCTATGTTGGTAACATCTGTTAGCTTACTAAATCCTTACTTACGTTTTATCGTTCCTTGCACCATTTTTATAATACCTATAATACAAGTTATCCATAAATACTACTGAATTTATTCTGACACCAGGTAAAATCGTAAATGTTTCGGCTCGCTGACGCTGGATATTTGCCAGTTGACCTGGTACAAAAATAATATTTTACATTAATTGAATTATCATATAAAATTCATATTGGTATCCTGCAGAACTAACAATATCAATAATTCATATAAAATACCATTGTTATCTTCTTCAATATCATCTTCTTCCTCCTCTTCGTCAATAACACATTCTTCCTCCTCCTCTTCAAAACTGTTGAAATCCATCAACTCTTCATACTGCAGTTCATTATCTGAATCGATGAAAATAACAAGTGGATTTAATTTAAGAGGAAATTAAGTAATATTTAAAGTGTTATTTTGAATGTATTTTTTTTTATGTTGAAACTATGTACAATGCATTTTGTAATAACTAATAATTACTTGAGGATGTACTTATATAATTGATATTCACTTAAATAAACTATAAATAGCACAGAAAAAAAAAATATATTGTTTTGGCTAGGTATAGTAGCGTTTCCGAGTTGTTTTATTCCCTTAGACTTAGGAGACTTAGGGCCGTTCTTACAATGTCCGGTAAAGTGTCGGTTAACGCTAACCGACTGATAACAGATTTTATTACCGGCAGAATTCTTCCGGTTAAGTGTCGGTTAACTTTAACCGGACGTCGTAAGAACGGCCCTTAAATTAAATATGATGCCCCTTATGTCCCTAACATGTCCCCTCCCATTTCTAACACTTAAACCACTAAATAATAAGGAGTACATCTGCTTATAAAAGGTGTGAAAAAAATGTTTAATACATATATATAGAAATAAATAATACTTGGTAAGTAATCGTGGTCGCGTAGTGCATCAATACCATTGAAAGCCATATTCGCTGAGTTGGTCCTTTAAGTGAAGTTAAGTTTTAGAAAATTAATAAATAATTAAAGATCAAGAAAACGAATAAATAATTAATGTATTTTAACAGGCTGTCACACGAACTGATATTAAATTATTATTTGGAATATTTACTTTTGTTTTGGTTGGTATGAGATACTATTTGATATGCTCGTTTTTCTTTTTCTTATCATTTTTAGGAGAACGGCTTTTGGCCCTCTCCGTCCGTAACCACGAAACGGCTAACACGATTTCTCCACACGAACACGCCTCGAGTTTATCGCGCCCTATCGCGTGCTCGAGAAACCGCCATCTTTTCCCGTCCACGTGCTCACGTTACACGTCTTTGGTACTCCGCAACACGACCACTGGTCTCCACCAAGTACGCGACCCGTAACACGCACTCCGCGACGGACACCGGCGTACCTACTCTCATCGCGTAAGAATCCCGACCTGTGCGTCGATACAGAACCACGCGACTCGACACCGTCCCCGCTGCTAGCGACCGGCATTTGCTCTGTGATATTTACTTCCGACTAGTAACAATAAATATCTTTCCACGTTAAACCGTCTCAGAGCTCATTATTTCGTACAGTGTATATGTTGGCCGTGTAAGTTGTACCATCCTTTTAAAACCTACACGCGCCACATTGGTGACCTCGCACACAAAACAAACACGCACGCGGAACACGTGCCCCAGCGACGCACAAGTCACTTGCGCCGAATACGCGCCATGTCGAGCGAGCTCAACGACGAGCACGTTACACCGGCGCCCAGAACTACGAGCTGGTGGCAGCGCCTCAACCCGGTCGTCTTCGCGCCGGCATCCCGGGAGCCCGTACTCGAGTTGAACGAGCAGGTCCAGCGACTAAGCCTCCAGGTCGCACGTCTCACGGTCGAGGTCGAACGACTTAAGAAACTGATAGTGCCCACCGCCATGGTCGCACCGTCACCGCCGGCCACGGTCGCATCGTCACCGCCGGTCACGGTCACATCGTCACCGCCGACCACGAAGACGGGCAATTCATGTTATTACCACAAGCTCTACGGCGCGAGGGCGAAAAGCTGTCGACCACCTTGCGACATGCGCACAGCGACAAGTAACATCAAGCCATAAGCTTCGGCCTTACGCCATTTTCTTTTTTCAACTCAAGCATCACCATTCAAAATCCAACATTAAAATTTCAACTCCAGCTATCAATACGTCAAATTCTAAATTCCGCTTCACCTCATTCATCATCTCAAATCCCAAAGTCAACGCAAAATTCATTCGTCATCTCAAGATACACTCGCCCGCCGTCTTTCCGTTTGAGCAGAAAGCGCGCACGTCTCCGCACCCCGCAGCATCGCTGCATTGAGACGCGCGCGTGAGTACGATCGCAGTTGGACGGTTGGCGAACCGTCATCTTCGAGACCGCCTTCGCGGGGAACCGCATTTCGCGCAGCACCGCGCCTCCTCCGAACCGCCCACCACCCGCCTGTGTGGAACGCACGCGTATCGTTGCTACAACGGCACTGCCACAGCCCACGTGCGCGTGTAAGTACGGCACGGGTACACGGCGGCTAAGAGTTCGCGCTCATCGCGCGATCGGTTTCTCGCCTCTTCAAAATTCATCTTCAAGCCAAATCGCAAGTCAATTTCGACTCATTCTGTCAACTTCAATTCAACTTCGATTCATTTTCCGCCGACTTCAGTTTTCAACTTTCATCCACTGCAAACTCATCTCCATTCGCATCTTCAATCAACATTCATTCATCTTCCTTCAACGGCCTCTTTCGACTTTCAACATCTCAACCTCAGCTTCGAAAATATTGTAAAAAACCTGTAAATATTTTTCTTTTTTTAAAGGGGGGAGTAATGTGGCGAACCAGTGTTTCACCACATGCTCCCTCCCTATGTCGGTCGCGCTCCCTGTGTTGGCAGCACCGCTCGGCCCTCCGCGTCGTTCGCGACCGCGAAGTGTCGGGCGGCTGCCAACGGTCTCTCCGTCCGTAACCACGAAACGGCTAACACGATTTCTCCACACGAACACGCCTCGAGTTTATCGCGCCCTAACAGTTCGCTCGAGAAACCGCCATCTTTTCCCGTCCGCGTGCTCACGTTACACGTCTTTGGTACTCCGCAACACGACCACTGGTCTCCACCAAGTACGCGACCCGTAACACGCACTCCGCGACGGACACCGGCGTACCTACTCTCATCGCGTAAGAATCCCGACCTGTGCGTCGATACAGAACCACGCGACTCGACACCGTCCCCGCTGCTAGCGACCGGCATAACCTCTGTGACATTTACTTGCTCTGTGATATTTACTTCCGACTAGTAACAATAAATATCTTTCCACGTTAAACCGTCTCAGAGCTCATTATTTCGTACAGTGTATATGTTGGCCGTGTAAGTTGTACCATCCTTTTAAAACCTACACGCGCCACAATAGTATAGCCAGTATACGCTGTCCCCTTACGCTGCCATTTTAATTCCTTAACGTGATAAAATTATATAATATATATTATAATTTAAAAAATAAAATTTGGGGCTTGAGCCTAGGAGCCCCCCCCCCCCTCCTAAACAATTTAGCAGTTTCAAATGCGTCAAATATTCAACCAATTACAAATTGCCTTGGTATCATTGAGACATTTTACGACTTTTGAAATACTCTAAAACGTAACAATGTGCTTTTAAATTATATTGAAAGTGGAAATGAAACACCAAATGCAAAATCATTAAAGAGAATATGCGTTACACGTTGGATTCAAAGATATGATGCGGCCAGTGACTTTGTGGAGCTATTTCCATATGTTATTGATGCTTTATACAATATTTCAAATTGGCAAGACTCTTCACCAACAGATGCCTCATTACTGTCTAAATCAATTGACTCAGAATTTATTATATCACTTCAAGTTGTAAAAGTTAATCAATAATTATAATATTATGGTGATAATTACACTTAATAAATAATTATATTTATATTTATGTTACTATAGTTGCTGTGTTTTCGTATGGCTTACCTTTGTGTAAGCAAATACAAAAATAAGAATTGATTTGAAAGAAGGTGTCGAACTTTCTAATGACACTGTTAAACATTTAGAGTCAGTTAGAGCTAATGCAGAAAAAGAGTTCCACAAACTATTTGTATAGGCAGAAGTCAGTATTATTTTCAACAACTAATAAATAATTTTATGAATGTTAATTTACAAGTTGATTTATTTAGACTAAGGCTTTTTTATTTGATTTTGAGTTGGCTATAAAAAGAATTACCAAAAGACAAATAAATAGAGGAAACCCATGTATAGATAATGTAAGAAATTTAGATGTTGAAGAATATCGAATTACAATTTTTATTCCTTACCTAGACTTTTTTGTAAGCGAGTTGACTGAACGATTCTTTTCTCATAAATCTATTTTTGATGGTATTTAATTATTGTAAATCTTGAATATTTTTGCATTTTAATTTGAACATTTGCAACTTCTAAATTAATTAAATAATTGTTTTAATTATTATACAGGATTTGAATGCTTATTTTCTAAACATGAGTTTACTTCTAAAGAAGAAAATTAATTCACTGAATTAATTAGATTTTATCCTCCTATGGTGTCCAATGGTTCTTTTGGTTTTGGTTGAATTGAAACTGTGGCAATCTAAGATACAACGATGTGAAAAAATACCAAAAACCGGACTTGAAGCACTGGATATTTGCAACAAAGGCATATATCCCAATATTTATGTTCTCCTAAAAGTGCTATGCACTTTAACGGTATCAACATCTTCACCTGAACGTATGTTTTCAACTCTGAAAAGAGTAAAAACATATTTAAGGAACACAAGTCTGAGGTTTAAAATTAAATATATTCAATACCTATTTATGTGATAGAGATTACATTTAAGTATATGATCTAATTCTTTACTTTTTAATCCTCAGAATCGATTAAATGGCCTCACTATGTTGGCCATTCATAAAAATATAACAATTGCCCCTGAAGAAGTAATTAACGAATTAGCATTAAAGCCACGTAGAGTGGATCTCTTATTGTGATCAAAGCATAAACTGTAACTGTTTAGCATTTAACTGTTATGAAGATACCAATAAGATAATAAAGTATAATACCTATTCAGTATTTGTAAATGTGAATATTTTGTAATTATTTATTCCATGTATCATGTGTACATAAATATATTGCACTGAAAGGAGCTTATAATAAATACTTTTTTTTGGGGGGGGGGGGGGCAATATGTTTAAGCATTTCACCCCCCCCCCCCCCCCTCCCCACAAACATGACCAAATTACTCCACTGTACCTTTCGTGTTTAAAACGGTGCCCATTTCTTTATCTCAGTGATTTTGATGCCTTTTCATACTGTTGTATGTTTTTAAAAGAAAAATATGGTGGGCAGTACCATTGATATGTTTGCCCAATGACTGGCAAATTATCATTACATATTAGGAATCGCTTAGGAATTGCTGATATTTGATCATTGTCCGAGACAACAATGATATATAAATATAATTGATTAGATTTTGACATGCTATACAAATATAATTAATAAAAAATTAGAAAAAATTTAAAAAAAATTAATTATATTATATTAAATATTATTAATGTTGAAAATATCAAGGAATTACTAAATTAAACTTTCAAACACTCATCTGATAAACTCACTCATTCAGCTGTGTGGAGTAAAGCATAAACATAAAAACTCGTTTTTGGTGTTTCTATAAGAAGATAATAGCAAGCTTTATATTGGATGTCTTCAATATTAAAAAGTTGAACTGGGGTTGATAATTCGCTAAATTGATACATGCTAATAGATGTAGAAGAGCAAGAAAAAAATATAAAGGAATTGTGTTTTAAACCTTAAGCATACCATGTATATTTCACCATTTATATTTAATATATTTTTAACGAGGCATACTATATTTGAAGACATGATATCATAGCCATCTATTTTACTACTTCTACGTTTGGAGTTTTGAATTCTGATTGTAAATTGTTCTAAGATAACTGTTGAATACAGAGATACAGATTCATATAACATATTTCTAGGTAGAGGCAATAAAAAAATGATTACCATCAACAGGTACATTGGCTTTTCTAAATTGGAAATATGACATTCAGGTTCTTCTTTTATCCGGTTATATAATTGAACCAAAAGATTATGGCCTGGTTGCAAATTTTTTTATGTGTTGTAATTAGTTTTCATAAGGGAAAGCCGAAAAATTGTTAAGTTTGCCAATCGACGACGGACGACGCCGGCGCGCGACATCCGCGCCTGGAAACGTCGACCGGCCGTTCGACGAACCGGCTCGTACAAGTTACTTGTTTTTCTCAACGACCCGGACACGGACCTAATCACGCACGTCCCCGCGAGAAAAACCACAACTATTAAGGTCCTTTCACACACATCCGATCCGGGTCCGTTCCGTCATGGAATCCGTTTACTCGGAAATATGAACTTCTTGTTTTGAAATGGATGTATTCACACACGTCCGTTCCGAGCTTTCCGAGCTCTCTCCGATCAAAAAAATATTGTCGCTGACCGATTTTCTGTCCGAGCTCGGACAAGTTTTGGCACGAAACGGTGCCGGATCGGACATGTCTGAACAAGCGTTCGATCGCATTTCATGTTTACGATATGCAACTGATATATTTTCATCATTTTCATTCCACTCATCAGAGGATCTGTCATAATGGACAGCGAAATATTAATTGAGCTCGTCAAACTTCATGTCGGGCTATATGACCTAAGTAGTCCAAATTATAGTGACAGTACATGGAAAGAAAAAGTTTGGAAAGACATTGCAGATGAATTGCATCAAACAGGTAAGATAATATAATATTTGAGTGTAAGTAATATTATATATATTATAATATATACAGTTTAACGTATATAATATAACTTCATTTTATTTAATAATTGAGATTTATAATATTGTAATAATGTATTAATGTATATAATATTATAATGTAATTATTTTAGTAATTATTTTGTCACGTACATAAGTTAACTTCCCGTCATATTTTTTTATAAAATTGTGAAGTACACATGTTGTTAATATAATTACATCAGCATTTTCTGGTTTAGCTTTGCATTCGTCTATTATAATATATTCTAAACTTTTGTGATAATAGACCAAATGCATTTTCCACAACTCGTCTTGCCCGGCATAGACGATAGTTGTATACTCCTACATCAACCATAATGAAATACTTGTTAGAAAAAAAAGAAATTGAAGCTAAAACAGAAAATCTTGTTCATCCAGTAGATTCATTTCTTTCAGGTATTGGTTCTACATTAAAAACATTAGACCCCTATAACTTAAATTTGGCAAAATCTAGAATTTTTAACATTGTACAAGAAATTGAATTGAACCAAATCTTATATAAGCAAACTGCAGATACTATTTACAACAATGCATCAACTTCGTCAAGCGCAGGAAATCCATGCTTAAGTACACATAACTTGTACAACAAGCAACTACATCATTTTCGGTGGACTCACCATACACAGGACATTCGGATTCGCTATCTCCCCAAATGCAAGGTGAAATGCCATTACATACATTCACATCAACTTCAAACTAGAATTAATAGGAAAATTAATATTTTTTTTCTTTAATAATTTGTTTACGTAATAGGTACCTATAATTTTAAGTTTATAAAACTTTTTTTAAGTTAAAAAATTGTTTTTCTCTGATTAATTGTATGATTTATAACACAAAAGATACATCATGCATATTTTAGTTTTCTATACTTAGCTAACAACAAATAATTTGTTAAGTAAAATTAAATTTTGTAAGTCACTTACCTTAAGCAGACAGCTAATCTTTCTCTAGGATAAATGGGTTTTCTCCAATGAGTTTCTTGCTTTTTTATGATGGTTTCTATTTTTCCAAGTAGAATATGAAATGAGTACTGAGTCATTCGGAAATATTCATAAAATTTTTCTTCATCATCCACGAGTCCATTATATAAATTTAAAAATTCACCTTCTTGTTCTCTTTTTTTCCATAAAACATGTACCCATAAAGTACGTTTCCTTTTTCTTTTTTTCGAATATATTTCTTCCTCTTCGTCAAGAATTAATGCAATCATAATTAATTCTTCTTCGCTAAATTTACTCATTTTACTTGTCTTTACAGACTTGTGCTTAACAGAAACTTGAAGTTTTAAAACTCAATCACATCTGTTCCCCACGGCTTCGGAGTGAGTACTGATTGCAACTGAAATTATATAACTGATAAACAGTGAAACAACAAATCGGATCAGATGTATGTG